ATCATCACAACGCATCTATCTTTTCTGATCAACCACCACACCGCGGGGTATATCATCAACGTGACACCCGGTTTCCCATCAATTGTATGAAGTGGGGAGGACACCTGGAACGGTCGCGATAACATCCGACTGGCACCGCCACCGGATCTGTCTATTTACTACTGTGTTCAGAGGTGGAACTAGGGGTGGAATATAGGTATTCATTCCTGTCGATAAAATTATAGATGGTTTAATTTTTGTAATTATTTTATTAAAAACTAATTTGATATTAAGTTAAAACTCAAAAAGTATGATTGTATTTTATTTATCAGAAAAAAATTCTCGAGAATAGTATTTAATTATTGGTCTATAGGCCGTAACTTTAACATATTTTAACGTATATTTCTTAAAATTATTTATTATTAATTATTAATTAATATTTATTAACTTATATTTTATTTTAACATAATTTAACGTAATTTTAACATGTAGTGTTACTTCATTAATATAATTATTATTTAATCTATTGATTTATTTTTATTTTTATCTATGTTAATACATTTTTAAAAATATAATAATATAATGTAATAATTATTGTGTTATGTTGTACGACCTATCTTAGACGCGTTACCCAATAAACTCTTGAAAAATAAAAAAAATTCTATAGGTTCTACAATATTTATTTCGAGTTCCTACAGGTATACAACTATGGTAAACAATACTAAATTAAAAATTATGGTTATAATTATTATTATATTTACTACATAATATATTAGTTACTATTATAGTTATTTTTTTTTTTTAACTAATAAAAATAAATTGATATGAAAGTTTAAAAACAATGAATAATATACGATGAAAAATTTACTCTCGTAAAAGAGTAGTAGGTACTCGTAATTATCACAAAGGTTAGGATGTTTAACACATAGTTTAGCACGTAGTCGATTATTTGTCCATATTCCTGGATTATTACGCTCGTATAGTTCGCGGCAGTTTGTGATTTTCAGTGGGATTTATTTAATACAATGCTGTTACGATTTTGTGTGCTTCTGGGAAAATTTTCGATGTACGGCTGACGAAGTTTTGTTCATTTTTATATGGTTCTCTTTGTATTTTTTCACTGCTATTACATTACCTTCAATAATAGTTTATTATAACTATTATAACTATTATAACTATAACTAACTGTACACCTAGCCCGACGCTTTTTTTTATAACTATTTAATAGAATTTTGTCAAACACTTGTTTTTGAAATAGGTAAATATACGTCAAAAATACCACTATTAATATTTATAATTTCCTTTTTACGGGAGATATTTGTGAACTGAATTTTACATAAGGCTTTTGGTTTTAATATAGATAAATTATTTTTGCTGCAATAAATTCGTAAACATAAGTGTAGATTGAATGAATTGAATTTTCATGAGCATAATTCTAAAAGATATGAAGTTGTCACCATTCAAGTTGTGAAAAATATGAGCGAAATAATTTCAAGGAACAGCTCCACGTGTGAAATATTTGTATTAAATATCTCCTAGTATCTTTATTAATATATATTATTAATATTAATAATTAAATAGACGATAAGAGATTAACCGAAAGGGGCAGGTATCATTCTCGATGAGAGGAGTTAATATTTAACGCGTAAGCTGGCCGATTACAATAATCTCTTAAATCAATATTTTAAAATATTTTTAACTCTACTATAATTACACAATGAAAAAAAATCAGTTTTGAATTTTCCATAGAGAAGTAATGAAGTATTTGGAACAACTTTGAGAAGAGGCGAAGTTGAATTAATCGTACAATATGCCCAAAAACTGTAATCTTATAATATAATTTACTTTTTATTCTCCCTTTCAAACAAAAAAATGAAAATTCGGGTGAACTGGTGACACCAAGGAAAATAATTGGAACAACAATGTGAAAAAAAATTCTAACAGTATCTATACAATATGCAGATACATCGGTACATTTATATGTTTTGATTCTACTGAATATAGTTGACATAAAAATTTCGAGGTCGCTTAGGTGTTAGATACGAGTAGAAGAGAATTAAACTGTATGCAATTTTTTCAACAAATGTAAAAAATAAACAAGTTTCAAAGATTGCATATTAATTATTTATTGAATATAAATTTTTTTAATTTAAATTTAAACGAAATAATCGTAATTTACAACACTTTTAGTGATTGATAATAGAAAAAAATATGTACAGAAATACGAAACGTACTCACGCAATTCAAGCTGCTCGATGTGTCGATAAAATACGGCGTCAATACAAGGTGAATTGCGTGAGGTAGAAGTTGCAAGATCGTTACCTACTTAATTGTAATCCTAGGATGGTAGGCATAAAGTCGATAAATTCCGTTTCGTGTAATCCACGGCAATCCAAATTTAAATCTCCGCCAACAAGCATGGGGTAAAGCGTGATTATTATATTTTTAGAGCACCTCCAACATTATTTTTAATTTAGGACTGTACGCCATTAGTAGAGCTCGAAAGTTGTAGAAGTTGTGTATTTTTCTGTATACTCTCAATTTATAGTAGATCAAGCTATAAATCTGTTTCATACAAAAATGAGTTTAAATACAAACAATTTTTTCGCATATTTTGGCAATTTTAGAAAAAACTGCATATTTCTTAATTATCATGAGATTTTTATGTCTGCGTAATATTTTCTAAACAATTTAAAGTTTTCTTTTATTTTAGTTTCGATTATTTAATGTATCACCATACGACCATACTAGTACCTTACCGCCGTTATATCAATTTAACTTAAAGTAGTGTATTTATCTTTATAGCACCAAGGTGATCACTATATAATATTAACGACGTTATCATTAATCTATTAGTAATATGGCAAGTTTATTATTAATAATAATATTATACACAATTATACATCAACCATAACTTCATCGGATGTTGAAATAAGTTTTTCGTGCTACAAAAATATATTTTTAGAAAATCGTTGTTCGTTTGATTTGGAAAATATAAAGAAAGTTCTGATTGTTCGATGAAATACGTTTACAGGTATGAGAGTTATAATAATATATATGTTAATTGAATTAATAACAAATAAATATAATTTTTCAAATAACTTTCATTCTGTTTTTTTTTAGGTTGAAAAAATTACAATCCATAAAAATCACCCAAAAAATTTTGAATTTAATAAAAATATAAAAAAAAAAAATGTTTTTATACTTAGTACATTTTTTTTTCATATTTAATAAAAAATGTATACATATTAAATTCATTTTTTTTGCATATTTAACATTTTTTCATGCATATTTTGCCTTTTTTAGCTCCTACAACTTCCGAACCCTAGTCATTAGATTTAAGACGAAAAATTCTTAAATTCTTTTAAATAGTGTTTTGGAGACATGTAAACTGACACAAGTACGGTTCGTTTACAATTGATTGTCGTCTTGATCGAACAAATGTCGCCGATATCGTCGTGAGATGTCGCAATTTGCTTCACGTTCATATTTTATCGATTAAACTTGAACAAATTGTGCTCGATCCATTGTTATATATCGGGAGAACTCATATTTTTGTTTTCGCATATAACGACACCGCCCGAACGTATTTCGTTTGAAACGCGAAACCGTGTGAAAGCTCGGTATTTCAACGGGTTGATCGTTTTTGATCCATATTCCGGAAATGGAAAGTAATTTACAGCATGGAAGTAAAAAACCTGTAGTTATATCGAGCGAACAATCATTTTATGATTGCGCATTGAACTTGCAAAGGCAAAGAACGGTCAAGAAAATCGTAGCATTTAATATCTCCTGTTGATTTTAAACGATGGCATTGGAGACGAGCAAACACATTTCTTAATTCTAGATTCACTGTTCAACGATTGTGGTACAACACGTGGCCAATATCGCAATTCGTTAGGTGTAACCCGTTTAGTGAGGTGACGTGAGAGAGGGCGACGTAAACAAGTTGTTGTTCGTGACTTTTACTGTACTCTTAAATGACAGTATCATACGTATCTCCCTGCGATTTGTGCATCGTAATTACACATGTTTCAACGAGTGGAAACCGTGTGCGTTTGTAAATAATGATTTTACTCGTTGAATGCACATTGCCAGTACCGTGCGATATCAGTTTCCACGAACTATCGAGGTCCGGATCGACGAGTACATGGATTAAGCATTGCATTTACACATAGTAAACGACCAATCTTTGAATTACCGAAATAGAGCCAAAGTAGTTTGATCGCGCTTGTTTCAGCATTACGGTCGATGAAGCATGAGGTATCAATAGCTCCATTGGCGAGACCATCGAGTACGTTTATATTCGCGGAAACCATATGCGATTAACTGATGCGGAGGCGAGGGATATATGGTAAACCACTAGTATCGTCGGTCTTGAGCAGAGTTGAGCGTTATTCGAATAAAACTTTATTTAGATGATTATTTAGATAACATTTTATTCGAATAAATTATTATTCGACTAATTTTCAAACACAAATATTATAAGATATCATAAATTTAAACAGATAATTTTTAAAGCTATATGCCCATATCTATCTAGTATCTTTATGTTTTTCTGTAGAGCTTTATATATTTGAACTTATAAATATGAAATACAACATTGAACATACGTAGTTAGTACATAGTACCAAAATACCTGAGACTATATAATATAGTGCAGAAACTGGACTAAACTAGATATAATAATAACATCTTCAATACTGATAATTAATTACTATTAATGTACATACTAAATACATGTAGACAAACTAGAAGAATTATAATCATTATTTTTATAATACATATTTGGTAATTATTACTTACTAGATACTACTATATATACTAGGATAGGATAACTATGTTTAAAAATAATTCAAATAATATTATGATTACAAATTATTCAAATAATATTATGATCACAAATTATTCCAATAATATTGTTTCCAAATTATTCGAATACATTTTTATTCGAAGAATTGTAAAAAAATCATTCGAATCATTTTTTATTCAAATACATGTTTATTCCAATAATTATCTAGATAAAATGTTGCCCAACTATGGGCTTGAGCTTGTGTGCTTTTGCACGGACACTAACGAGCTGATTGGTTGTATGATGGTCAGTACAGTGGTCTGCGGCTACGTATTCAATAATTTCGACTCCACAAATATATTCGGAGTTAAGCCGGTGTACGTCATGCATGCGGGAGAAGAGGTGGATTGATTGAGAATACTTGAGATCGACGAATTCGCGTTTTCACCCAAGTTATCATCATCTTCGGTAAAGGGCCGGCGGCATTCTTCCGTAACTTTGACGATGTCCAAATTTGACTCAAACTCTTTACTTAATTCCATAATGAACGTTTCGTGTTCGTCATATAGAGTTTGATAGCGTTTTCTATCATGTAACTCAATATCTTCATTGCGAAAGGGTACGTGGAGAAGAACCATTTTTTTTTGTACTTATCCATTTCCACGAGCTCGTAATTTCGATACCGCAATATTTTCGGTATCGATGGCGTTTATAGTTTTTTGTTATACTATCTTGATAGAAATTAGCCATAAACTTTGCAAGTGACACTGTCTCCATCATTGGCGTAGGAAATTCGTACTTTTCCGGAACATTCTCTTTCCAAATATCAGTTGATTCTGTTCCCTGCTCCTCGTCGTCCATTTGTTTCTTTATCTTGCGAACGCGCTGATTTTCACGCGACCATGTCGTTGGAACATACTCGACTTTACGACTGCACACACTCATATGCAAATTCAGTAAGTAGCACGCGGCTTCTTGCGAAGAAATTACTAACGCATTCAACATTTTTAACCCGAAACTTCGGTCAATATAGTGCTATAGTCTTAGTCGGGATATTTGTCTCGTATTTTGATTAGTACACGTTGCAAATTACTCATTCCACGGTTTGTTTTGTACACGTACTCAACGACATACGTGGCACGGGAGTACTCTTTCAGAATAAATTGTACATAGCAAATTGATCGCTGAATTTCGTGACCCATGGGTTAAAATTGTTAGCATGATTTTATGTATCAAAATGTCTGTATCCTTCAGCTATTTTAACAATCCTAAAAAATATCTTAAAGCATATTTTTATTCTTTATTTACTTCTTATTAATGAATTTTTTAAAAAAAATCCCATTTACAATACAGTCATTTAGTTGGTGTAATAATATGTAGTTTTTATACATTGATTAAATATAATATATGATTTAGATTTTTTTCAATACTCGTATCTTATGATATTGAAATACTATAAAAATTCCATCATGACTTTATTATTAATTTTTAACTTATCTTTATTAAATATTATTTTACGTGTAAACATTAAATGTTGAACTCTCGAATCATTAGAGTAATGAATTTTTTGGGCTGAAGCAAAGAGTAACTATATAAATCTATTGCAAAAAGTGCTACGTAACAAATTAATAAATTATATTGTTTTAAAATAATACTAGCAAGAAGAAAATATTCTGAATGCAAAGTAATGTATCGTGCTAATATGAGACTTAGTCAATTTTGTTATTAAACAATAAACAATTTTCTATGATATTTTTGAAAAAATTAGAATTACTATATTATAGAAAAAACATTGGCAAAAGATCAATATGAAGTAGAATATTATTATAAAACAATAAATTTCACATTTCGTTCAGAATTTATGATATATCTCGAAAAGTGAAAATCTAATAGTGCGTAACGAAGAAATCAATCATCTTTTTCTTACGTTTAAATGATGTATTACAATAAGACGGTGCCTCGTAGATACTTCACTCGTTTTAACATTTAAACCAACATTGTTATTCTGATATTATTAACTATGTTTTATTCGATTTTTTTTTTTTTTAATATTTTGAATTTTAAACATTAAAATCAATAATAATTTAGTTAAAATAATATATTCTAATATTATACCTATATTTTAGAAAAGTGAACAAAAAAAAAAAAAAATTCGGAATATATGAAGAACATTCTGATATTGTTGTTTTTTATGTTGTATGAAAACATTTGTTTTATTGTTACTTCATAAGGGTTCACATAGTTACTTATGTGAACAAAATAAATAACATTTATGTAAGCATATTAGTATTTTCAGCAAAATTATATGGTAGATTCTACTGATTTTTATCGGGTGTAGATATAAAATCCAGTGACACGTTAGCATCATGACCGTGTAAATATATAAAGAAACCATAGCATTCCCATTTAAATATATCTTCTTCAGATATAAAGGTGATTTTAATATGATCATTGTAGAATTGAAATATAAACAAAATTCACACACTACAAACGAACCCAATGTTGAGATTCATATTTTTGAATAAGAAGAATGATATTATTATATGGAATATTAAAATTAAAAAATTTATTTTATTTGTCCTGAAACAAATTTACTTATTTTAAAAGGGTCTATATTATTTATTACGCAACACTTAGTACTTGGCAATACATTATTAGATTGAATCATTCGGCCAACTAAACTTAATTTGGATTAATTTTAGTAAAAGTAATTTATATAATAAATAAATACAAATAATCAATTTTTATTAAATTTGGATTAATTATTTATATATACATTTTACACACTGACCATTTACTCAGATTCCACTTTATATAACATATTTTATAGCATTTATCATTACTTTTTATTCGCTTTGCATTTTTTACACGGAATTACCGGAGTGTTAATGTTGGGATAAATTATTCTATGAAGTAAATTTTTAAACGATACATGATCCGATGACAGAATAAAAAACAATTGATTACTATATATTCATTTTATATTTTTATATTTAAGATATATAATATTATTTTACGTAAGACCGTTTTTCAAAATATCGGAAATAGAGTTGCTGCAACTATATGAAAAAGTGCAAAATTGTTAAAATTAACATTTTACGTATCATTATAATTGTTTGTTTATTCTTTTATTGCCAATATCAATGGTTTTATTTCATAGAATAATAAACTTTGAAATTAATACAAATGTTCATTGTTTAATTTGAAATCTACTTGAGTTAAAGAAATAATATACACTTTATATCGTTTTGTTCAATATTGCTCTATTAATAATTTACATTTAGACATTTAAACTACAAATATTATAGTTTCGTTTTATGTTGGTTCATATATATATATTAGCGAAATATCTTACTTTATTTTGTGGTAAATTAAATTGAATTTTTGAAATACAAATGAAAAATATTCAAGTATAATATAATATTGTGGTAATTCTGTTTTACATTTGAGATTACAGTATATATTGCGTACGACTTAGTTGAATTATAAAGCCTCCGTTCATTTTAATTAGTTAACAACTATACACATATATGACTATCGGTTTAAATTATAATTACTAGAAATAAATTCACCAGTATTCCTTGTTATTATGCTGTTGTGATCAAATTTTCCGAATCCAATCAATCTTAAGATTAAAATACATATTCGATTCCAAAATATTGCGGTTGGTAGTTTTTGCACCTGTGAGGAACTAAAACTTGTCAGATTTTAACGGTTAAAACTAATTAGAACGACATATTATACGCTTCGCATACATCTTCGTCCAGTCGTCATGTTATAGTATTACTTATAGTATATTTGTTTTTACACGAGGTGCAATTATAACTAGTCAAACGGCTATATTGTGTGTCTATGGAATCATGTATACGAGAAAGTACGTTGAGTTTATCCGAAAACTTTATGTTAACTTCGTCAGTATTGGTCCGGAAACTCATAACAATTGTATATCGTTTGTTATGTTATTGGATTATGTTCTGCTATGTGTTCAATTTGACTGAACCACCATAACTTCTTCTCTTATATTTGTTTATTGACTTACCGAGTTACTTATTTATTACATGGTGATTGCTTCAACGATATTTTTAATATGAGAGTTTATACGTGTGTTGTATTGAACAGTATTATATACTAATATAGTTTGAATGAAACGACTTCGTATTGATTTTCCTATGTTTTCTGTCCTATTTAATTTTCTACGATCAGCAACAAAAGTCTTATATTACGCACGGTACATCATAAGTTCGATAATTGTACTTATTTTTCAAATGGTAAAACTTTATCAACTTTTTCATAATCCATGTAAATTAATTTTTTTTTTTTATTCTGATTATTTTCAGTAATCTTATTGTATACTAATACATGAATTACATAAATCATATAGTGATAAAAATTATGTTTATTTGTGCTAAATTTTTTATGAACATTCACAAAACCATATTTCTAGTTTACAAATAAAGATAATTTGTCGTATAATAATAATATGTAAAATTAAATATTTTAAAATATAATTTGTCATAGACGTGTAAGCCTTAAATATATTTCTACTTTTTAAAAAAATTAATCAATGGAAAAATATGTTGTACACCTAAGCTTATATTTATTATATATTTAAGTAGAATATTCCATATTATGAAAACCACAATATTAATTCTTGCTTAAAATTGATTTAAAAATGCAATAAGTCTTCAATACATTTGAAGTGTACGACTAAAATACATTACTCCTGTTGATCTACATAAGACTTGAACTGCATTCCATCCTCTTGTACGCCTTTCATCCAATCTGAGTATCATAGTGATAAAATACAAAACATTCTATCTCGATTTATTTAATGTTTATTCCGTGTTTGCTTGTTTTACAGTTGTGTATGAATACTGTTATTAAATACTGATTAATTACGGTAACTCTTAATGAAATAATCCACAACTAATTCTGTAATGAATGGATTGAAACTTTTTATTTTATTTATTCCCTGAATAAAGTAATAATAATAATGTAACACGGCGTATAAAATAGGTAAAATTATTACACAACTGTATTGGGGACGATATTACAATATTATTATATTATATTATTTTTATTATTATTATAATATATATATATCAATGACCATAATATTATAATATCGTCCCCAATACAGTTGTGTAGTAATTTTACCTATCTCATACGCCGTGTTAAATTATTTATTGAAAGGAATAAAAAATTATAAAAATTACTAACTACAACGTTGCGTAGACAGACAAATGTCATTGCTGTAAAATATGACGATAGTGAAAACCTTAAAATTAAAAAAAAAAAAAAATGGAAATAATACAATACTCGTATAAGTCATATTTAAAAATTTTCCAAGAATACGTAAAAAATATATTTATTTATTTTGTTTTTTACACAATATTCTTAAAAGTATATCA